GTGGAAGTTTCCATCCTGTTGAGTTATTTGAAAGTCTTGTTTGTAAAACCAGTTTTACTTGAACACACTATGAAAATATCAATGCAGCTTCTTCTTCAGAAGTCTCCATGGGAAAGAACTTTGTACTTCTCATATTAGTGAGAATAACCTCTTGTATTTTCATCCAGCACTGTTGCCTCTTTTGTTTAAGACAGTATCTAATATCCTTTTCTGACATGTCAAAAACTGCTGCCCAAGCTGTTATAGTAAAATTCAGTTTTCTCAGAGCTGGACAGGTAGCTAAGTGGTTAGAGCACAGGTTGCTTTGCCAGAAGACCCAAGTTCGATTATCAGCACCTACAGAGTGATTCAGAACCATATACATATGGTTCTCAATTCCATAACTCCAGTCCCAAGAGATCCAATAGCCTTTTCTGGCTTCCACAGGCACCAGGCATACCATGGTGCATAGACAAAAGACTCTTACACATAAAAGTCAGACCTTTCTAGGTTTTCTGTTGACTCACATTCCAGACTGTATATTGCAGGGATCCCAGAAAAACCTTTATCATAAGAAAGACAGATGAAGATAAAAAACAATATATTCCTCAGGAGTGAAAGAGGACCCAGAGAATAGGAGAGGGAAAAATTCCCAAATTACCCTAATGAAGGTGTTTGAAAATATCACCTGTTAAAAAAAAAAAAAAGAAAGAAAAAGGAAGAAAGAAAGAAAGAAAGAAAGAAAAAGAAAAAGAAAAAAATCCTATAAGGAAGAGACCACCAGAGACTAAAGCGCAATCCATTACAAACTAAATTACAGTCCACAGAGAAGGCTTGGTTGAAATAAATTGTTCATGGATATCAACCAAATACCCTATGTTTTTTTAACATCTACAAGACAAGCTAGTGTCCAAAACCATTTCTGTGTTGCTTAGAGGCCATTTAAATGAAAAGGGCCTTTCCCCCCATTGTGACTTCCATCTGCCTCCCAGAGGGGTGGAAAGGCATGGTGTGGTTGGTATTCTCTAGTTCACCAGGTGTATGGGAAGTTGAAGAAAATGCATAGCCATTGTGAATCACGTGACACACTCTCCCCTTTGCCAAGCAGAGGCTTCTTGGTGTATCCTCCCCTCCCATCTGCTTGAATGGACAGCTATACTCTGGGCTGGAATCTGTAGACTATGGTGCCCTTAAGGGCACCATGTCATTGAGCTATGTGTTGACATCCACTTGATTGGGCTTGAAATCTGGTAGTAGGGGTGCTCTTTTGGAGTGAAAACTGACAGAATCTCCTGCCTGTTACTCCTTTTATTGCTTTCTAATCCTGTGAAAGCTGATGCAGGATTTGGGGCCATCCCTAAATGTCTTCACACAAAGTCTGCCATTTCTTTTCTGGATCTCATGGTCTCAATGAAGGTTCCTTCCCAAATAACACATTTGTGGAATAAAACTTTGAGTTTTAAAAAAGTTTTCTGTTTACTTACTGTAACTGGATAGAACTTTGGAAAAAGTTCTGAGATAGATTTTTAAGACGATCTTTATTGAGGAATCTCAGTCCATAAAGTTCTTGAGGCACAAGCATGAAGACTCGAGTTTGATCCCCAGAACCAGATGTGCTGGCAGGTGCTTGCAATCCCAATGCTGCAGAGGTGAAGACAGGATCCTAGAGCCCATACTAGCTGGTGAGTTGTATACCAGTGAGAGACACTGTCTCTCAAAAATAAGGTAGATGATGCCTAAGGTCAGCCCAAGGTTGAACACGTAGGTACAGATACATACTCACAGAGTCTCACACACAGTCACACACAGACATACATAGGTACATACTCACAGAGACTCACTCAGCCACACACAGGCATAGATAGATGCATACTCACAGAAACTCACACACAGACATACATAGGTGCATATTCACAGACACACATACACACAATCTTTCTCACACACAATCATACACACACATGATATCATACACAGACATACATACATACATAGTCACATACAGTCACACACACAGACACAAAATCTCACACACAGTCACAAACACAGATACACACCCATAGTCACATACACATATGCATACCAACAAACACAGTCACACACACAAATAACATATAAAAGCATAAAATATTAAGATCTGGACTATATACCTCTTACTGAGTTCTAGGACATTTTGTATATTGAAACATTGGACATAGACAAAAATTCTGTGAGACACAGTGTTGCTGAATATTTGATCGCACTGTGAACCCCAAGACTTAATAACATCAACCTTGGCTCAGGGGGCAGAACCAGGAACTAACTGACAGAAATTAGCCATAAAGAATATGGAGGAGCCAGGAAGACAGATACAGAAGCACACAGGAACGAGTAGGGAGGGACTTGGAATTTTGCAGTCGTTTTTGGTTTGGGACAGTGGGGGAGACGCACTTTTGCTGGGTCTCTGGCCAAAAAAAGGCAAGCTGGCTGCTTCTCAGCTTCTCTGAGCCAGCAGGTTTTCACCTAAACATCTGACTCCTGAGTCTTTATTGGTAAATAGAATGATGGAGACCAAACTACATTTGGTGGCGGCAGCAGAGATGTGCTGGTGGGACCAGGCTACAGCTTGAGTAGCAGGACACTGACTGTGGGGTCATGGACCACAGATAGTAGTTAAAGTATCAGGAGATTCAGGAGCAGCCACTAAGCTCAGGGAAAAACAACGGCCCTTTATTGCTTTATTGGTGGTGTGATATGCTTCGAAATTTATATTTCCAGATACAGTTGTATATTTTGTCTTAACCTTGGCGTTTTGGAATAGGCATACACTTTCCTGCTATTCATCTTACCTGGGACTGCTTTATCTACTTTAGAAAAAATGGGAGCGTTGCAGATTGTAGTAGAAAGATCCCTTGATATATGGTATCTGGATTGCTGGAGGCTTGTGGCTGACTGTCTTCTAGTTTTATTCTATAAGAGCAAGAGCTAGTTAAAGAACAGCCCCATGGATAGGGGAGAACTGGGACTGGGTAAGCGGGAGTTCTTAGTGTGCAAAGCACAAGGCAAGTGTCAGTTAATTTTCTGTGTGTCTATAATTCTGGTCTTAGTCAGCTTGACCACACAAGAGGACTAGGTCATTGATTGGGGTTGTAGCCTAGTGGCTGGGCTCTTGTCCAGCATTTTTGAGTCTCTGGGTTCACGCTCCATCACTGCAAAAGAAATCAAAGAACAAAGTTATTCTTAAAAACTACTGTAGCATTGACAAAAATGATAATTATATTTTCTACTTATGGTAACAGAATGCATGGACATAGATTTCCTCCACATATTAATAAATGTTTTGCCACCTGAGTATAAAATAAGAAAAACAGTATTCTAAATGGGGTAGGGGGTGGGCTAGGTGTAAAAAAAGAGGTAATAGCCAGGCCTGGGATGTTGCTGTGGCACATAAGACCCACTTTCCATCCTTGTATGAGGTAGGAGCATCATAGGTGATTTTTTTTCCTTTGGAACTTGATCCTTCTTGAGTTCTGGGCAAGTGTTGCATGAGGTTCATGTTTATGGGGGTGCTGCTGACCCCATTCTGATGCCAGTTTGGTTAAGACTATTGAATCTTTGAAGAACATTTATTTTGTTTTTTAATTTATGTGTATGTGTGTGTGACCACCTATGAGTGCAAGTGCTAATAGGGCAAAAGAGGTTGCTGGATACCCTGGAGCTGGACTTCAGTTGTTACCTGCCCAGTGTGTGTGCTGGGAACCCATCTCAGCCCCTCTGCTAGAGCAGCAACCCACCTTCCCAGTCCTGAGATACCAAGCACATGCCACCATACCTAGCTTTGCCTATTCTTTCCTTCTCTTCTCTTCTATCTCTTTCCTTTTGTTAATGCTTCTGGAGGTGGAACTCAAGTCCTCCCGCTTTCATGACAAGCCCTGTACAAAGTGAGCAACCCACTCAGTCTTAACTGCCTTTTCAGATAATGTCTCGGATGTACTCCATTCATTTTTACAATGCTATCTGCCTTGTTTTCTAGCCTGGGCTTTTACACCTAGACACAGAAACACCTGTTTTTCCTCTTTTATAATCTTAATTACATTCAGACATTCGTAGTCTTGTGAGGCTGTTCTCACAGAGACCTCTGGTTTCTGAAATGTCTGTGCTGACTGCCATGTTTTCAGCTGCCCACTGAACATCATTTCTCAGTGAAGTGTGCTTACCCCGAGCCCTCCCATCCCTTATCGATTTCATACCATCATTCTCATTACCACACATTATTTCTTCTTCCTTTTTTTTGTGAGAATGTCATGCATTGTATTTTAATTTTTTTAAAATTTAAATTTGAAACAATCTTGTTTCCAATGCCAATCCCAGTTCCTGTACCCTCCTGTCCTCCCCTGTTCCCCTCCCCCCCACCAACCCACATCCCATTTCCTTTTTGCTCCCCAGGGAGCAGACTTCCATGGGGCATCTTCAAAGTCTGTCATATTGTTTGGAGCAGGGCCTAGGCCCTCCCCCATGTGTCTAGGCTGAGGGAGTATCCCTCTGTGTCTAATGGGCTCCCAAAGTCCATTCATATACTAGGGATAAATGCTGTTCCATACACCATTTCTTTTTACCTGAAAACTCTTTTCTTCCTCCTCTGTAAACCTGTTACACAGTTCAGAGCCTGGTTTTGATTTCCCACTGGGAAATATGCCTCTGATGCTCTAGCCCTACTTAAATGTTTTCTCTTACAATTTTTCAAACTGCTGCCATGTCTTCATTGTTGCTACCGATGGGTATCTAAACAGGTGTAAATCCTAAGGGACACAGATTGTTTCCCTCTCTAGATGTCCAGGTACACGGTAGGTATGATGTCCATACTTGATAACAGATACATGACTGTAATTTCATTATTCTTTACTTACTTATCAGGCATAAAATTCAGAAAAATTATGAAGTAACTTGGACATACAGAGAACTGCAGTGTCTTGTGAGTGTTTGATACTCCACTGATGTGTTGAAATGTTTGTTTTATTTTTTTTTCTCCCTTGTTTTGCTAGCAATCAAGGAGAAGTACACAGACTGGACAGAATTCCTTATACGTGATTTGACTGGTTCTCGGACAGCGCCTGCAAACCTTCTGGAAGGCGTATGTATTGCTATTATTCATCTATTATAGCCCTGAAGCACTCTGGTCCTGTGATCTCAAATCTAGTGGCAACTTCGCATATATCCTTCTGCGGATACATGTGCACACTGATGTTTTTATTCTCACAGCCTAACTTCCTGTTTTTTTTCCCCTGAATTATAAAGATGATGGATTTGGTTGGTATTTTATGGTTTCCTGTGTTATAATCAATAAATGGGAAGTTTTCTCTGTTCGAGTGCATTTTACAATTACCCTTAAGCCTTATCTTTTAGGATAACTTTTTGGTAGGTGATGATTAAGCATAGTCTTCTGGAGCCCATTAATAAGTAGCAACATTAGTTGTTCATCTTGGGTGCATAATAACTCCATGATTTCACACGTATGTGTTACCTAAGACTATTGATCATCTTTCTCTGTAAAACAAGAGGAGACAGGCTAACTATATTGGAATGTAGCTGACGTAGCTTTTAGGTATAGAAGCAGAGCAATTTCATCTTGCGTCTTGATGATGTGTCTGAAAATGTTATAATGAAACTTTAATAATTCTTATATGTACTTGAACAGGAAGACAAAGGCAGTGTGTCACATGTAATCATTAAGTTACCAACTCTGTTTCAAGGGTACCTCAGAAAGGGGAACCCTAAGTGAATGGCTGGGAATAAGATGTGGATTTTTATTGTCATTACTATTATTGTTGTGTTGTTGTTGTTATTATTTTTTAACCTTAATTTTCTTCCTTGGCAATGTTATTAATATGTAAGACAACCATTATGTGATATAGTGCTCACAAGTGTCTTGTGATGATTTCTCCTGATATATATATCTTAATGGCTAATTTTGACCATTGGGTTAAAAGACTACAATGATGATTACTCTTTTCAGAGGGATGAATTGCCTCACTTTGTTAACTGTTAAACATATTTGCCTAAGAAGTTGGCTAAACAGACACTCTTTAAATGCCAAGCACGCTCCTCAGAAAGGGCAGTACTTAAATTTTCCCAAATCAATTACCAGATTAAGTAGTAGTTATTCTCTTCATGTGCCGAGAGTTCCTCAGAAGGGGCAGTATTTAGAGGTTTTCCAAACCAATGCCCAGGTTAAGTAGTGAAGTAACTTCACACAATATAGCCAGATGTTAAAAAGAAAACAAACAAAAAATGCTTGATCCTATAATCTAAGCTCTGAAAGAAGCAGGAGGAGGCAGGGCCCTGGATCCACTGGCTGGCCAGCCTACTTAATTGGAGTTCCAGGCTAGAGAGAGACCCTGCTTCTCTGAAAATGGCCGATGATGACTGAGAAACAGCATTTGAGGTTGTCCTTCGGCCTCTGGGCATGTGTAGGCATGTGCAGCCGCACTATCTACATGCCCCGCCCTCACATACATTGAAGATTTGAATGTGAGCGAACACAAACATGTATAGGCATCTCCACATCTGTACACACCTGCACTTAATCTGTGTATGACAGTGTTCAGGCTGTTAGTAGATGACACTATAAGGTCAAGGTAGAGATTCATAGCATTATATTAGGTACATCTGTCCATTTGAAAATAGACACTTTATTAACAGGTGTTTTAACTCTGGGTGCATCTGAGTATAATTCTACTTAAAATGTACTAATTTCTAACAGATGTTATTTTATTTGGGAATTGTAACTTGTTTGATAAAATACTGGCATGAACTGTTGTTTTCTATTTACATGTGATTTTTGTTGTTGGGAAATGATGTGGGCTTGTGGATGTGTGTGAGGGAGGGAAGGGAAGTGGGTGTGTGTGGGGTGATGACTGAACAGAGGATTGGGGAGGGGGTGATGCCAGACTGTTTGGCAATAGCTTGGATGATGGTGTGAGAAAAATATTATCTTCTGCTGTCATCTGTTTCCATGAGAACCTTAAAGTCAAGTTTAAAATACGGAGTTTTGCTTCTGTTTAAACAGCCTCTGCGAGGGAAAGGCCCTATAGACCTCATTACAGTTGATTCCTTAATAGAGCTTCAGGACTCTCAGAACCCCTTTCAGTACTGGATAGTTAGTGTGATTGAAAATGTCGGAGGAAGATTACGCCTTCGCTATGTGGGATTGGAGGACACTGAATCCTATGACCAGTGGTTGTTTTACTTGGATTACAGACTTCGACCAGTTGGTTGGTGTCAAGAGAATAAGTACAGAATGGATCCACCTTCAGGTAAGAACTGACACTGTTCCTCTGTGATGTACTTTGAGATGGCAAACTACTGTGGATGTGTCTCAGAACGCTTCCTCTGCTGTGTCTTCTATATGCCAGGGTGTGGATTTTAAGCGTTTTAACTTCAGACTCTTTTATACGGAGACTAAAATCCAAGGTGCTGAGTAGACACCATCTCAAAGGAGAATGTGGTGCTGTACCCTCAGGAAGCTGGTCTGCTTCCTATGCTGTCACTGGCTGGGAAATGACAGGAGTGATAGGTTGGGATTCGAGCATGGTGTCCTCATATTTTAGGGTTGTAGTCTTGATAGTGTATTCCACAATCTCTGTTTGCTTGTATATCTTTCTCATGACCTGCTTCTATTCATCCACTCACCCATTTTTCTGCCCACATTCATCTCTTCACCTATCCTCCTGCCCACCCATGTATGTAATTATACATCCATTTATACAATCTGTAGTCATCTGTATATCATCCATCCCTCTCCTCTCTGACTTCCTTTTTTCTTTCTATCCATCAATCTGTTTATACCCATTCATCTATCCACATCCATCCTGTTCCCTACCCTCCCTCTTACCACTTATGCAGCCCTACATTCATTTATGCATTCACATTGGTCAGTTAATTGTTCTCTACCCATCATACCCATTCATTAGTCCACATCCATCCATATTCCATTCATCCACCAGGCTATCTCCATTCACTCAACCCATTCATGTCTGTCATCTAACGATCCACTATCATCCATCCACTTATCTATCATTTATCTATTTATTTTTCTATATGTCCACCCATACAAATTCCATAACACCTGCTTATGATCATGTAATTCATTTTGACAAGGAGACAGCAATGAAAGGATTAATATATTTACCCTTTTCGCCTGTCAAGTTACCAGGTAGTGTCAAGTGGACTGACAAGTGGCTTTGTATAGGCTTAATTGGATAGAACAGTGCATTCTTCCCTCTGATAGATCTGTCAAAAAACTCATATTTACAGAATAACCATTCTTAAATATTTGTTATATTCCAGGTGATTCTACATTTGTTATGTTGTTTATTTTGATCTAAAAACGTGGTGCATGTTTGCTGTGACTCTCTTTCTACAGCCAATTACAGGACTGGGATTAAGATTAAGCTGCTTTTCCATTAACCCCTGGAGCTTGCAGGGAGTAGCCTGGGTGTTGCAGTTGGAGTTCCTGGGTCCTAGATCCAGTGCATCTCATTGCCTCTGCTGACCAATGGTACTCTTACCAGCCTTTTGGCAGAAAACCTAGGGACAGAAATGTCACGTTGTTAATGCACTTATACATGCCAAGGAAGAAATGTTTTTTCCTGGTAGAATTTTATTCTGTAGTCAGCTTTACAGGTATATTTAGAATAACGAATTAGTCTGCAACTTCATTAAAATTGCTCCTGTGTTGGTTGCCTGTGTGAGTCTTGTGCACAGGAAAGTGAGAAGTTATATTTACCTTATCTGTCACTCAGGGGCTTTGATTGTAGTATATTTCCTGGTTCTGGACCCCGGGTATTTGCACCTGTGTTAAATCTGACAGGTGGATAGATGTGTAACCTGGTATTTTATAATAGCCGTATTGTTGTTGACATTTTGAGAAGCAGCCAACAAATCCTTTTATACCTTAAGCATTTTGGGTGATAACAAACAAAGGTCTTGTCCATGCTGTGAGAAAAAATTGAGCTCAAGTTTGCCTTGGGATTCATAACCTGGCAGGAAAAATTTACTTGTGGGGAAAGGTGGCTGTGTAAATCTCAGCCCAGTGCCTAATTGCTTTATAAATTCTAGAAGGAACTTATCCTTGCCAGTGCAAGGATTTATAGTAAAGCAAAGAGTTTCCAGTCATTCTTATGTTCTTTGTTTTTTTTTTCCTACAATGAAATTCTGGGACTAAAACTCAAAAGGTGGTGTAGAAAATCTCACTTTAGGAAATATTCGCTTATAAGTCTTCTCACTTTTGATAACTCTCTATGTCTACAATGCATGAATAAATCGTGCTTATCTGTCTTAGAATTTTCTGGACAGAATGTTGATTTCACAAAAGAGCTCATGAGTTCATCTAAAGACTGAACAAGTGATTTGTCAAGATGTTACTTCTCCAACATTTAAAGTGTTGACATAATGGCTGTATATGGGAGAGAGAAAGTAAAAGACAAAAATGTCACTCACATATAGTAGTTAAAAGATGAAAACTAGATTCTGTTACCTCATTCAATGAAACAATACCCCTGAGAAAAGAGGCAATTATTACTCCGATTTTGCACATGGGAACAGAACTGATATGTTAGATTTGTGTAAATTAATTTCAAATCTCGGGGTACCTTGTGCCACTTAAATGGTAACACTATTTCCTGAACTGAAATGGCACCATGAATAAAGTTTCAAATAGTACAGAAAATATTAGAAAGATTCTCTTTTTTTTCCCCCAGACACCAATAAACCAATACAAAATTACCAGCATCAAAAACTGGGGGAGAGGAGTAGATCTGCAGAGGTGGCATTGGGGGAAATGCAGTAGACTGCTTGTGTGCATTGAGAGGAAGGCTGTGGAAGCTGACCCTGCTGGCGAGATTCCCTTTGCCATGCCTTTTCTCCAGTGTCATTGGCATGGTCGTAAATAATCCCCACTCTTCACTTGGTGTTGATTCCTTCTTTTACTTTTTAAAGGATACTTTCTTCCTGGGCTGTTCAGTGTGAGCTTGGAGAATGGGAATGGGTATTAGGAAATGGCTGGGACGTTGTTCTTTGGAAAATCTAGGAAAGGTACTGAATGTTATGCTGTCCACTTCTGAGGACCTAACTTTCCAAGAAGGTTGTCAAGTCAGGGGTAGCTCGAGAAGCCCACTTGCTTCCTTGGCTGTTGATGTTTAGACGATATGATAGATATTTCAGTCTTAACAGAAGCTAAGGAAACAACACTCTATGCTTTTGTAAGTCTAGTCTTTTTTTTTTTTTTTTTTAATCTCTTCCATGTTGATTTCAAAAGAAATCAACTCTTTCAAACATTTAGGTAGATCCTGGAATCAAGAAATTTGGGGATAGAACCTAAAATGCTTCTTGCCTAAACTGTTTATGTATTTGAAATCATTTCCTTATATTGCCCAAACAAAACACCAGAGTCTGGGTTGCTTAACAGTGGACATTTATTTTATCGCAGTTCTGAATTCTAGACAGCTGAAACAAGAGTGCCAGCTTGTCTAGAGATCTGGTGAGGGCTCCCTGACTTACAAGTGGCTGCTTTCAAGCTGACTCTTTAAGGAGAATGCACCAGTACTCTTAAAAGCTATTTCACCAGACTCCTCTTAACCCTCATCACCTTCTAAAGCCTTTGCTCCAAATGTCGCATTGGAGAGTGGAGGTTCTACGCAGCAATTCCGAAAGATCAGATTCAATTAATGACATTATCCAAGATTTCCTGTCTCTTAGTAACCATTGCTCAATCTTTCCTCACTGGTATGGACCAGGTGGAGAAGGAAGAAACAGATTCATCGTGGTGACTAGACATCTGAAAGAGGGGCGTTCCACAAGACCTCCATTTACTTATGGTTATTTATTTGTTTGCCTATTTATAGTGATGTGGGTGCTTTCTGCAACACTTTCTACCAGAACATTCCAAACTTCTGCTTGAAGGGAGATCTCTTCACTTTCTTCTAGACTCCTGGTGACAGATGTGCGAGGGTCTTCTTTTTAATTGTTCCCACGACTAGTAAATGGAGTCTGATGAACACTGTTAAATTCCCTGCATTGCAGGTCATTTTGAGAACATCTTTTATGTCCTTTTAATAGACCTGTTGATTGTGTACCCAGAGTGGCTCTGACTGCTGAAACACATACAGGCAATAGTGTTCTCTGTGTATTGTATCTTGGAGGTGTTTTGTCTTCACAGGTGGTGGAGATGGCTGTCCAAACTGAGTTTTACCTTTGCAGAAAAGAGAGTGCCTTGCCATGGTGTTAGATCCCATCTGTGTTAGTTCCTTTTCTAATTGCTGTGTCAGGACATCTGATAAAAGCATCCTAATGGTTTATGGTAGCACACTGTTTGAGTGCATAGCATCAAGGGGAGGAAGCCACTACTAAGGAAAATCACATGCATTTTTGTCCCTACATAAAAAATGTCAGATTAGAGGAAAAATTCTGCTAGAAGTAAAAAGTTCTAACTGAAATGCTATAAAGAATATCAGAAGAATAGAAGATACTGTGTCCAAAGTCACCCTCTTTGTAAAGACAGCAAATAGCGTGTGGGTAACTTGGCTAACTCTGGTATGGTCTTTTATCAACTGTAATTATATCCCCTCAAATACTAAATAAATTACTAAAACGGGGGCTTTGAGCTCAAGGTGAGTTTAGAAGCTGTAGGGACCCAAATATATGGCTTCATGCTAAAAATCAGACATGCAAGAAATTAAAAATATAGCCCAAAGGTTTAATGTTGCTTTTTAAGTGTGCTTAAATTCATATTCATATCCCAACAGTCTGTCTGAGGCAGTGAGGGTTGATGTAGGGATGATATAAACACATCTACTTTCAATGAGAGCTTCCACAAATCCTATTTTGATAAGGTCTTAAATCTGTTGTGATCAGGCCATAAAATTCTTCTACAGTTTCAGCAATACGTGAAAACAGTGCTCAACAGTGTTTTTCCTTTTAATTTTGTATGCAGACTGTATAACCTCTGTGTGTAAATCCTTCCCCTCCTCCAGCGCCTGGGGGAAAAATATGGGCGACATGTGGTATGTGAGGAACATTTCATGTGTAAATATAAAACTTGGTTTGTAAATTTTAATTTGCCTTTTAATAATTTTTCTGACTTATATGGGTGTGTGCATGTGTGTGTGTGTGAGCGTGTGAGCTTGTAGATTTAATGGGAATGTGTGATAATAGCTGTAGGTGCTGGACCAGTTCTTTATCAGTGGGAAGATGTTTTAGATGATACATAGAATCATGACTGTAGATGACAGGACTTGGTAATGTGATTAATGCCATTAAATTACTTACAGAGACCAACAGAACACATACAAATGTTCCCCAAGGAAGAGTTCTGTCAGTATTCTCCATCTCTAATAGCAGAATCACAAGCTGCTCTTTAATTTCAGAGGATCCCTTTAGCAGGTGGCTGCTTATGGGGAAGTGTGAGCAGGGCACTCGCCAAGTGCTGTGGTACCATAGAAGCAGAGGAAAGATAACGTTTAAAGAACCAGCTAACGGCATTACAGTCCTTAAACTCTCCGTGGTTTGCTGTTGATACAGAACTCTATCCTCTGAAGATGACTTCTGAATGGAAATGTGCTCTGGAAAAAGCCCTAATTGTTGCTGCAGAGTCTCCTCTTCCAATGGAAGTATTTAAGGTGAGTTGTGAATGTCATCAGTCTCTCTCTTCCTTCTTTACTCTCCCTCCCTCCCCCTCCTTTTTTTCAAATACAAACTAAACTGTTGGAGGGCTATGGCAATGGCTTAGTGGGTAATGTTCTTGCCATGCAAGCATGAGGTCCTGTCCTGAGTGTGGATCCCCTGCAGCCATGTAAAGATGGACATGTTGATGCACATCTGTAAACCTCAGTGCTCCTGAGGTGTTGATGCACACCTGTGCATGGATGTGTGAATGCACATGTGTAATCCCAGCACTCCTATGGTGTAAATGCACACTTCTAATCCCAATGCTCCTGTGGTGTTAATTCACACCTGTAATCCTAGCCCTCGTGTAGTATTGATGCACACCTGTAAATGGATGTGTTAATGCACACATGTAATTCCATTGCTCCTGTGGTGTTAATACATACCTGTAATCCCAGCACTCATGTGGTAGGATGGGAGGCAGAGACATTGTGTGGACTGACACCTGAGGATGTCTTCTTGTTTCCATAGGTGTGCTGTGCCATGCATGTACCTTCATGCACACACATGAGCACACATATGTGCACAGTCATACATACATACATACTATGCACACATACCAATTTGAAAAAGAAAAGGAAAACTACTGTACAAGCAAATCTCATCCCATGGTGAGGAAACTGCCTGCTTTGCCCATTTCAATCTTAAGCTCTGAAAATTGTGTCTGCTCCCATTACTGCTTTAAAAATGACTTTTCATAAATATTTATGTCATAGGGTGCTCATTAAAATATTCTTGTTTACTCTTCGCTATGATGACAATCTCAGTTTCATCCCGTGCCCCCTGCCCCCTTACTGAAGTGACAAAAGACATTATATACATCAAGTCAATTTTACTTTTTTTAAGGGATTAAAAATGAGAGGCTGTGGTGACAGCTCAGTGGGTCAACCACTTGCCTCACTAGCAGGAGGACCTGAGTTTGAGTCCCTTAGGACCCATGTAAAAAGGGAGGACATGGTGGTACACACTTGTAATCTTAGCCCTTGGGATGTAAAGAAAAGTAGATGGGGGACTGTGGGGAGAGAGGAAGGGAGGGAAGGAGAGAGGGAGGAAAGAAGGGAGAGAGGGAGGGAGGAAGGACGGTAAGAAGGTAAGGACGGTAAGAAGGTAAGGACCAGGGAGGGGAGAACTGTTTTTTCTTAGACTCAGTTTTCTCAATGGAGTGTCTGCTATATACTATGCTTTTGCCAGGTCTTTCCTACAGTGATGAACTGAGTAGGAAACCTAATTCAGCTGCAGTGGATGTTCAAGCTCTTACCTTTTAAAATCACGTTGCCACCCTAGGCATTGGCAGTTTAGGCTTGGGAGAGGATGTTGGTCTTCCAGGGTGGGCTCATGAGAGTCTCCCGAGTTCTCACTGTCCACACTTACTTCGTGAGCTCTTGCTTTCCTTTGCTTTTAGAGGTAGCCACTGTTCTCACTTCTGAGGCTTTTGAAGAGTCTGCACTATTAATGGGGTTAGTGCTGGGCCTTTGTGCTGAAGACGTCACTTTTGGTTTTGCTGAATTGGTTAAATTAGAGCCTTGGTCATTAGCTGTTTTCCCGGTCCATACCTCTGTGGCTGCATAGTGAGCTCCTGTACAGACAGAACAAGCGGACAGAGGTACTGCAGTTACGCTTATTGTTTAGGACAAGCATAAAGAGGGATTTTTTTTGACACCTTAGTCTGACCTTGTTGTTTTCAGAACCCTGCATTATTGGAGCTTTTGTGCTAAACATTGCCGCCTCATTTTTCCAAGGCCTCTCAAATCTAGTGAGCTGCTGCTTCCCCTTGCAGTGTTGTGTGGGAATAGGGAACCTCCACATGCTTTTGAATCTTCTAGTTCCCTTCATACCTGCAGTTGTTTTTTTTTTTCTTGGTGTTGTTAAAAAGTATTACTCACCTCCAAATCTCAAGTATGAATTCTCTGAAGATTTCTGTACCTGGGCTCTTGGTCTGACTCCCCAGCCTTGACGAGGCTCCGTGATCAGCTATGGCATCCTGTGTGCGCCAGAAATATGTAGTCATTTGTGTGCTTCTGTGCATAACATCCACCCCCTTTTGCCAAACTTGAAGCTCCAGGAAATAAAGGTCTATATGTTTTGTGAATGGCTGGAAACAAAATTCCTGGCATTTAATAACTATTTGTCAAATAAATTAACAAATTTTTGAATGGACCACATGCATTTAACTCACCAGCTTTAAAAATTCTGAGTTAATATACTTATGGATTAATTGAACATATAATTGTACTTAGAACTGTGAATACTAAGACTTGAAAGGCAGAAACATTAGTAGTCTCGATCTGTTCTTAATTAAAAAGGAGCCAATTCATTAAACATTTATTGAGCAGCTCTTTTCTGCAAAAGACCATTATATCTTGTTGCCCTGATTCCAAGACTTAATTTAAGTTGGTTTGCATTTTCTAAAATATAATTGTCTTATTTCCTCACCTTAAATTCATCCTATGAGAACTCAGACCATTCATCTGATATATTACCATCTCAGAATTCCCATCTTCCTCAGTGTTTTGCTATAACTAAGCATAACTTTAAGAGTAGGTGCTGAATGCCACTGTGGGGCTTAGCGCAAGGCAAGATCTATACAGTAAGCACTTCATAAATAAAAGTTGGCTGAACTCAGTATTTGGGTTGTTAAAGTGTGTGAGATACTTTTTAAAATGTTTTACTTCGTTTGATGGAAGAGAAAAGAACCAGATAGTTTCATTTGGATAGATCCTTATTTAATTTTATGTCTGAGAAAAGTTTGTTTCCTAAGCCTTCTGTAACAAATTGCCATGGACTGAGCAATTTATAGACAATAGTGAGTTTACTTTCTCATACTTTTGTAGGTTAAAATTTAAATCAGGCTGTGAACAGGTTCGGAATGCACCTGAAGAGAAATGTGTTTGGGAATCGGTACAACTTTTGGCGTCACCTGTCAAATATGAAATCCTTTGGTTTGTAGTGACATCAGTCCATTCTTTCCTCTTATGTTCCCATGTTCAAGACTTCATAGTCTGTGTATTTGTCCATGTTTCCCTGTACTAATAATGACAACAGCCATTCGATTAGCACTTATGCTAACCCAGAATAGCTCATCATAAGTACATTTGCAAAGATCTTGCTTCTAAATGAGATTTCCTATTAATGACCTCCAGTAGTTACAAAGCTGAAGGGGATGACCTTTTATACCCAATCCCAGCACATTTCGAATACAGTTAGTAATTTTGTAAAAATATTCTCTGCTGAGTCCCTCAACTCAATGTACACATTGCTAATTATGTTCAGAGAAATTACAGGACCGTGTGTGGTGATGGTCAGATTGTTTCCTCAGTTTCTTCATGTATTTTTTCTCTCACATGTATTTTTAAGAGTCCCTGCAATATTTTTTCTGTAGATCTCTGTAAGACTGACCGCCCCGCCCCCTTGTACTTTTCTTTTCGTGCTATGTGTATGTATACATGTGCACATGGGTACATGTATGCTTATGTGTTCCAGAATATATTGAGGACAAAAGTGAGCATCGGTTACATTCCTGAGCTGTTCTCCACCTTATTTTTTTTGAGACATTATTGGAACTCAGTAATTTGGCCAGACTAGCTGGCCAACAGGCTTCAGCCATCTTCCTGTCTCTGCTCCTACTAAGTGCTGGGAATAAGGCACATGCTTCCATGTCTTTACACAGTAGTTTTAGGGATCCAAACTCAAGTCTTTATGGCTGCACAACAAACACTTTATCAACTGAGCCATCTCTCCAGCCCTGATTACTTTTCATAGACATATAATGATGATACGTGTAGATGTATATTTATGGTATTTCCCCTGTTATGATCAGGGTTTCTCAGTGAGCAGACCTCACTTCTGTTTCTTTCATTACAGCACCACGATTATATGTTTGAATTTAGCAGCGACTCATTTGGGATGCATGTTGTTATGGAAAATTGCCACAGTGCTCTGTGGTTATAAGACAGAAGTCAAAGCTAAGCACATTTAATGGCCAGATATGAGCAGTATTTCCAGGCAATTCTTTTTATTATTTTTACACTTTAGATAAAGCAGGCATTTGGATGGAATGAATCTCATTATGTGCAGCTCCTTTCTTTGGGCGATGTGTTCACAGGCTCTGTGTCTCTTCGTGCAGCAAGGCATGTTCATGGGCTCTGTTTTCCCTCTGCCTTGAATATGGGCAGAAACAATGCACCGAGAAGCTCATCAGTAGACTTTTTGCTGTTCCCTGGATCTGGGTCAAAATACCAACAACTTTGAGACTGTGCTGTTTTGAAGGAATTTTGACCAGCCATTTATAGACAATAGAGACAATCCTCAAACTGTAAACTCAGTTGAAAATGAGTAGTTAATGGCCTAAATTAAAGTAAAAACTGAGGGACATTAGAAAATATGTTTTTTGGGGAAGTAAATAAGGATTTCTCCCTGACAACCCACCTAAGGATTTAGTGGTTTAAAAGGTTTAGTAAAAGGATCCTATTCTGGAAGTTACTTGTTCTTTAAAAATGACAGAGAAGGGCTGGAGATGGAGATATGGCTCAGTTGTGTGCTCGACAAGCATGTGCAAAGCCCTTGGATTGGGCTCCAGCACCAAATATATCTGATGTGGTAGCACATGACTGTGATCCCAGCATTCTGATGGGAGAGGCAGAAGGGGTTTGAGTTCATCCTGGACTACCTGAGTCTCTGCCTCAAAAGTAAACAACAATGGCATTGGGGGCCAATGCGTGTTCATGTGGTTCTTACTTGGAACACATTTGCCTGCTTTACCATGTGGGTAATTCCTGCTAGGACTCTATTAGAGATGTCTTTGTATGTGGGCACAGACTTCAGTGCTAGAATAATATTCACCTGTTGCAGCCTCAGCTTTAATCCCCCCATTTAATTAACTGACTGACCTGTTGTTGTGCTAGTTATGTCTTTTAAAAATGAACTATTAAGATGTTTTCCTCAGAGCTCATTTCTG